CTCAGATTTTCCTAGAAAGCTTCCTAGTCCTGTGCTATTATGTTCCTTAAACATATGCAAGCACATAAATATACATGTAGGGCTACTTTTGAGGGGAAAGATGCCAGTACCTCTTTCACAAAATCACATAAGCCAGACCAAAATCTGGAATCTCTTTATGATAGATGTTAATAGCTAAGTTTTTAACAAAGTAGGATAAATTCAGTATTCAAGTAGAGTAAAATATTGACATGCATTTAAAATCTTCCTACATAAAAGGCATTTTATACATTCCACATGTTTTTCTTAAGTGTATTACTTTCCACTTCTCCTAAATTTGATACAAGAAATATATTGCACAATCTATTTCAGTGGTGAAAAGCTGGGAAAGAAAAAGAAAAGGAAAAATGGGGGAGTTTAGAGATTTACTAGTTTGTGATAACTTGCCTTTCCCCCTAGAATCTACTAGGTCTAAGGAGGACTAGATGGGATGGTGGTAGGAGTTTAACATAAACTGTTCTCTCTCCAATTATTCTTTTCTCTCAGTTTAGCTGGGGAGTTTGATAAGATAAATTTATCTGCATTTTTCTAAAAGTAAAGAAAAAATGGAATGAAAGCTACAATAATGGAAACACAAGCCATTGCATTTCTTGTAGGTAATAGTTTTATAAGTGTATTTATGAGAAATATGGGTATCATGCTATAAAATTAAATACTTTAGATATTTTATATCCTTATGGATATATAGTAAAACATATTACTTTTTAAAATATAATTAGTTGATTGGACTTTTAAAAATTAAATGTCAAACTTCCAGTAAATAAGATGTAAATAATAAAATTTAATATTAATGGGGAGGTACTACAGGGGAGATGCCATCTGGTAATTTTTTTTTAAACAAAAAGAGCATTGGTTATAAAGCGATACAGTAATTTGTAGCTTAAACAAAAATAAAGCTGTTTTTCATATGGTGGTTATATAAACAATCAACTCTCCTTTCACATTCTGTCTTTAAAAATAGTTAATTTAATAGTTAATTTATTTTTTTAATATTAATTTTCTAGTTTGGGTGGAAGTCTTTAGAAACAGCTTCCCATGAACTTTTTCCACTTGTTGGGTTACTAGTATACATGTTAACTACCTGTAAAATATCGGAGGTAGAGGAAAATACTTTGTATTGACTTATACCATAAATTTCTTAGAAGCAAATATGTTAATTACATGAAACTTTATATGACCCACTTTAATAATAATAATAGCTTCAAACGTAGCATTTATAAGATGTAATATTTAAATTATAATAGTGAACTATGGAGTTTGTGTGGAAATAATCCTCAAAATGATAAAAGAAGTAAATCTGTAGTATAACCAGTCATAGTTTGTTTCTCTATTAAGTATTTTTGATTCTTCAGAAAATAACATAATATGAGGAAATATTAAGAAGGTAGCAATCATGGGCAGAGCAAAGGACTCAAGAGATGACGTCAGCCCATCCAGAGGACCTTACAGTTGAGGAGAATACCCAATTGAGACAAAGATATTATTCTTTTAAATCTGCTCCTCAGGTTCCCAAGTTGGGAAGCTTTGTGGAAAAAGGAGCCAGTGTGCTCTTGGCACTTAGAAAACTCAGAGGAAAGCTGAAGTGGAGATTTAATAAGCTCCACAGACAGAAATAAAAGTAGAAAGTAAAAATCTGGCTGAGCTTTTATCTACTATCTCGAAGTGATGCAGGAACTGAAGAAGGACAATAACTATTAGAATTTTACTAGATTCTATAACACTTATAACTCATCTACTATACTGTAATTTATTCAAGAGCTGTAAAATGTTCCCTGCCAGGTTGTGATATATTTAAGACCTTATCCATCTTTACATATCAAGAGCTAGCACAGTGTCTGACATATTATAAACATCCAACAAATGCTTGCAGAAATTAGCTGAATTGTTAATGTTTTTTCTTTCAATTATCTGTTCCCAAAAGTGATTAGAATAAAATTTCATAATAAAAATGGATTGTAAACTTCTCTTTGGAAGTATATAGGAAAAGGATACAGGAAAGATGACTTGGCCACTTTTCAGCCATATTTATTAAGAACAGAACCCCAAAAGACAGAATGAGTAGTAACAGGTTTCAATAGAAGGGGAAAGCAAGCAGAGCCTCATCCTCAAGGAAAAACAGGGAAACAAGGGAGGTGAGACAAGTGGCCTTGGATCTCCAAAACAGAAAGGCCAGTATGGTTTTATAGTTAACTAATCACATTTAAAAAAAACTAAAATATTCAGTCTTTGTCTTGGCAAATGTGAAGGTCTAGAAAAAGTAGGTTTGTTTAAGTGCTAAAAAAAATTTGTTTATAGATCTAAATGAATAATGTCCACATTGCTTTATTCTGAAATCTCCTTAAAGATTTCTATCATCTCAGTAGCCATAGTCCAGGACTAAATAATGAAGACCTATAGAACAGTAGCAGTGAGAATGAAAGGGGAAATGACACTTAAAGTGAAAAATTCAAAGGATTTCTAAATTACTTAGATATGGTGGGGAAAAAAAAGAAAAGAAAACCTGAAATTGGGGTTTCAAATAAAGCAAGCACTCATAGGTATTTAATCTTTTATATTAATGTTTTTTTATGAACTCAGTAGGTGCTTAAGGAATTCTATCAGTTCACTGGCTTTCTCTTTTACTTAGAAAATGTATGGTATATTTCTTAAGTGGCTTTATTCTTAAGAGCTGAAAGTTATTACAATAGCATTATAGAAGAGTAGTTGCTAGTGATGCTCATGTCATAATATCTTAATTTTTTAAGTGTCTTTATCCTGAATTAATGTTAAATAACTATCCACTATGTCATTTTATCTTATAACAACATCAAGAGCTAGACAAGTATTCTTCTTTTTCTTATTATTTTTACTGACAAAAAAAACCCCTGGGACACAGAAAAGTATACATACAAGTTCACACACAAAGGCAGTAGGTCAGGCTTGGATGTACCCAGATGCTGGTGCTCAAGAGAGCAGTTGCTTTCTTAAATGATTGGAGGTCATGTGGACCTGGTGGACTCTATGCAAATATCACATAGGGAACACCTGGATGCATCATTCCTTCAAGCTTCAGACTCCTGAGACTTTGGAAACCTGGGGTCTCTGAGACAGGAATTGACAGTGGGAAACAGGAAAGTAATGGGGCTGGGTATTCCTTCCTCCATAAGCCCTAACCAAATATAAACACTAACAACTAAAACTGTTGTTAACCAGTTAACATTTTGGCATGGATTAGTGGGAATAGGAAAGAAGACCAAAAAATGAGAGAGGGAGACATCAAGAAGAAAAAGAGTACTCAATAGAGGATGCCAAAGACAAATTGCATTCAAAATTACTCCAGGTTTTTGGCCCACACAAGCTCCAAGTCAATTTGGCAGTAAACTAAATTATCTTTCACAATTTTGTTTCAGCATGTTTCATTGAGGTACAACATATCTCGCATTTCCCCAAGAAAATTATCTGAAGATTATCCAAGGTCTACCACAACCTATTTATAAAACTATTAAGAGTGATGTGACTGTGATTAATAAATACTAATTTAAATAGAAACTATAAATCTTAATTTAATGTTCTTAAAGCTTCAGAACTTGAAAATATCTGTATACATGTTCTCTTATTATTGAGGTATATGTGACATATAACATAATATTAGTTTCAGGTGTACTACATAATGATTCAATATTTGCACACACCATGAAATAATTACCACAATAAGTCTAGTTGCCATCCATCACCATAAAGTCATGATTTTTTCTTCTAATGAGATTTTTTTAAGATTTGCTTTCTTAGCAAAGCTCAAATGTGCAAGAAAAATTATTGGCCATACTGACCATACTGTATATTATATCCCGTAAGTTATTAATTTTATAACTGTCAGTTTGTACCTCTTGACACCCTTCACCAATTCACCAATTCCCACACTTTCCTCCCCTCTGGCAACCACCGATCTGTTCTCTGTATCTATTAGTTTTCTTTTGATTTGTTTTCTTAGGGCATTTTGTTTTTTAGATTCTAAATATTAGTGAAATCATATGATATTTGTATTCCTCAGTGTGATGTATTTCACTTAGCATAATATACTTTAGGTCCATCCATGTTGTTGGAAATGGCAAGACTTCATTTTTATGGCTGAGTAATATTCCAGTGTGTGTGTGACAGAGAGAGAGAGAGAAAGAGAGGGAGAGTGTGCTATCACATCTTCTTTATTTATTTAGGTGGCTTCCCTATCTTGGCTACTGTAAATAATGCTGCAATGAAAACAAAAGTGCAAATATCTTCTCAAATTAGTGTTTTCCTATTCTTCAGGTAAATATGCAGGAGTGGAATTGCTGAGTCATAAGTTAGTTCTATTTTTAATTTCTTGATAAACCTCCATACTGTTTTCCATACTGGCTGCACCCACTTACATTCCCATCAACAGTGCACGAGGGTCCCCTTTTCTTCACATCCTCACCAACACTTGTTATCTGTTGTCTTTTTTATAACAGCCATTCTGACAGGTGTGAGAAATCACACTGTGGTTTTGATTTGCATTTCCCTGATGATTAGTGATGCTGAGCATCTTTTCATGTGTCTGTTGACCACCTGTATATCTTCCTTGGAAAATGTCTATTCAGGTTCTCTGCACAGTTTTTAATTGGGTTGTCTGTTTTTGATGTTGAGTTGTATGAGTTGTTTGTATATTTTGGATATTAACCCTTTATCAGATATCTTCTTCTATTCAGTAGGTGGCCTTTTCATTTCATTGAGAGTTCCCTTTGCTGTGCAAAAGACTTTTAGTTTAATGCAGTACCATTTGCTTACATGTACTTTTGTTTACATTGCCTGAGGAGACATACTCAAAAAAAAAAATGGCTAAGACTGATGTCAAAGAGCATATTGCCTATGATTTCCTCTAGAAATTTTATGGTTTTAGGTCCTACATTAAGGTCTTTAACACACCCTCTAGTGTATTTTTCAGTTCAGTTATTGTATACTTCAGCTCTGTGACTTCTTTTTGGTACTTTCTTATATTTTCTAGCTCTTTGTTGAAGTTCTCACTGTTTTCATCCATTCGTCTCCCAAGTTTGGTGAGCATCTTCATGACCATTACTTTAAACTTTATCAGACAAGAATACTTATCTCTGGTTCATTAAGATTTTTGTCTGGAGTTTTATCTTGTTCTTTTATTTGAAACGTATTCCTCTGTTTCCTCATTTTGTTTGACTATCCATGTTTGAGTCTATGCATTTGGTGAAACAGCTACCTCTCCCAATCTTGAAGGAGTAGCCTCATGTAGATGATGAAACTTATCTTTCGACCTTGCCCTAGCTCTTGGTTGTCTCTAGAATCTTTGTTATTATCTAAGCAACCTAATTTATTCTTGACAGGTCATAGTTGTTGAGGTTGTGCCAAGACAGTTCAGTGTTCCAAAGGGAAGGGTCTCAGTAAGCACCTAATTTCAGGCTGATTGGAAGCCAGACACTCAGACAAGAGCTTTTAAAGTATGCAAATACGTACAGTCCTCTGGGACTGAAATCATAAACCCTACTGGCCTCTAGATCAGACCATCTAGATGTGTCCCCGTAGTGACAGTTGCAAAAGTTGGGGCTCCAGGTGAATGTTTAAGCTCCATTAAAGGAAGTACTGTTGAGCTGTAGTAAGACTAACAGAAAGCACAAAGATGGTGTCCACTAGTTTATGTTCTCTGATGGCAACTCTGGAGCCTCTAGATATGTGATAAACCTGAAGTCTGACCCTCAGGCTGAAGCTCCAGGAGAATAGGACTTTTTCACAGGTGGACTGGGGCTGTGTTTCAGTATGCTGCCTGTGCTCTGCAGGTGACAATCTGTCAAGAACTGTCTCTTTGTTTCAGTCTCATGGGGCCCAGAAATGCAAGGTCCCTTGGCCACCAGTGCCAGGCACTCAAGGGGCATCACTTGTGTGGATTGTATGCACTTACCAGCTTTAGTAGAGTTATGGGAGAACAAGGGTGCAGGATGTACCCACCAGCTTTAGTGGGGCTATGGAAAAACATAGGGGCAGGCCAAGCCAGCCAGCAGTAGCAAAGTAGAGGGAGAGAAAAAAAAAGGCATCCATCAGTGCCTCTATGTCTGGATAGAGTCCCAGTGGGCCTATGCCCCTTTGCTAGATGCTTTAAGGTTAGTAAATGAATCTCTTTCCCATATGGTCTAGGAGCTTTTCAAACTGTCTTTTCTGTGCTGGCTCTTGGAGTAAGTGTGTCTGCTTGTGAGCCCCTTTAAGAGAGGGATCTTAGTTCCCAACAACCCTTTGGATCTCCTGGACAAAAGCTACATTGGTTTTCAAAGCCAGGCATTTTGAGGATTTGTCTTGGGACCTGGAGTGCCCAATGTGGGGAACAAACCCCTCACTCCATAGGGAGAAGTCACATATTTGTGAGTTTCCTCCAATTGTGGGTCACTGTGCCTGGGATGGGGTTTTTGGCAAGACCACATCTCTTCCTCTCCTACTTATCTCGATGTTGTCCTTTTATCCTTTGTTGTGGAGATGCTGTCCAGCTAGTGTTCAGAGGGAATTGTTCTTCATGTTGCTATAGATTTGGTGTTCATGGGAGGTGGTGAGTTCAGGATCTTCCTATACCATCATCTTGAATCCCAAGCCAAATGTTCTTAACTTAAAAAATCAACCTGCAAATAGTTAATATGAGAATCTATTTTTAATTTTAAAATAAATATAACATCTAAAAATGACAAGATGCTTCTAGTCCAAACAAATTATTACATTTGGAAATAGAAAGATAATTAGGTCCCGACTCATTATTTTACAATTTTTCCTGATGGGACATAAAATTATTTGTTATTCAGAGTTGTATTACTGAGTTATTTACCTTGCATGAAATGTAGTGTTAGCATGTTTAACTATAGATGATTTGCTTCTCATTATTCTATCTCTAAATAATAGAATTTCATAATGAAGAAATATTCAAACAATATCCATAGCAAAGGTTAAGCATAAACAAATGTTTTCTCATATAATTGACAGTGCAGTATTGTATATTCATAATGCTAACTCTTTTCCCATAAAGCCTAAAAACTTCTTTGATATAGAAATATATTTGCATCTCTTAATTTAAAATCTAAATAAATTATTTGTGTCTCTCTCAAACAGGTATACTAAGACTTTTCAATTTGAAAATATTTTAAAACCTATTTGGGGAGTAGAAGGACGCATAGCGCATCTCTCCCACGAATACACCAAAAATTACACCCACAGATGGAACAATTTGCACAGAATACCTACTGAACTTTGGCAGAATATCTCTTACTTTGGAAATATAAGAAGATTCCTCACAAAAGCTGGTAAGAGGAAAAACAAAAGAAAATAGAAATCAGCGCAGGACCTGTCCTGTGGGGAGGGAGTGTCAAAGGAGGAAAAGTGCTGTCATGCTGGGATGCCCCCTATCCAGCAAGGAGGTCAGTGGGAACAGAAAGGGAGCTTCTCAGAAGAGAAAGCAGCAGCCACGAAGCAGAAAGAACTGAGAAAAACCAGCACAGGGGGTTCCTGTGACCACTACACAGAGACGCAAGCCAGCAGGGGCAGGCCAGTACTTGCTGCTGAGAATCAGGCTTCCTCGGATGAGTCTGAGAAGGGAATTGGGGCTGACTGTGCAGAGGCAGCCGGGGTAGGGGGGCTGGAGCATGGTGTGGGCTGTGGTTGTGACTGTGTGCAGAACACCCTGGGACCCACATAAAAATGTACCACTGATAGTTCTCACGGTGAGGAGTGGTGCAATGCAGCCAGGCCATAGCCACCATCTCCACTAGCCCAGAGGTCATTGCTTGGCACTATTGTTGGCATGTGTTCTCATAAGAGAGGTGGGGTTCAGATGCAGCCATCTTCTTGGCTTGCTCTGGAGGAACACAATCCCTGGAGCATGGCTTCCAGGTGGAGACAGGGCTGAAACCTGAATCCATAGCTAGGGGTCCCACAACTCAACCAGTGGGACTGAAATTTGACTCTAGCCCCAGGCAGTGGTAGCAGACTTGCTGGTGCCTTTGTGGACCCACCCTCTAAGACCTGCCTCTAAGCAATGAGCAGAGTTCTGGCAGGGACAGGTTTGGCATTAACAGCAGGACAGCATACCATACAAGGACATAGGGCTGGGGTCTACACTGATCCCATAGCACAATGCAGATCTAGGTGTGTGACTGAACACATGATGGCAGGTCCTAGTACCTGAAGTCAGTAGATCTGCACTGGTGGCTCTGAGGGCATAGAACCTGGGGGACACTAGAGTAGGTTGCCAACATTCCCATTGCTGAGGTGGAAACAAGTAGACAGCATCAGCAAAGAGTACTTTGTAAGACCACAAAAGAAGTGACAGACAACACCACAGAGGGCACTTCCTGGTGGACATATCCTGTGGAGGTATATTCAGTGGCTCCTCTTCCAGTGGAAGCCCTTCAACCCCGCTACCACACACCTCAGCTCAGAAACGGGTCTAGAAGCCTCTATTTCAACAACAGGGGAGCAGACCTGATCCCCGTCAGGGCTGTGACAACCACAGAACAAAAAAGGAGGCCCTGTTCAACAACAACAACCAGGGCAGGCTCTGATCACCAAAACACAAACCACACCTCCAATCAAAGGGATTAACAGCAAACAGATACAGAAGTAAAACGTGGCAACCATCCATACTAAGAACAGCCGTCATGACAAAACTATTAGATATGCACAGTCTACACAGGAACACTTTCACTTAAAAAAAAAAAGCCCTTCAAGACCATAGTAGATAAGTGATACTCCTAAATCCTCAGAGTCAGAGAAATTTAAGTAAAATCTACTTGGTTTGTTTACATTAATGAAGACTTCTAAATATACATTTAATATATACAAATAGGAACTATAACTAAATTAAACTGTTCTACATTTGGAATAATATTTAAATTGAAATAATCTAAACAGTAAATAATATAGCACTGTTTTGTTATATTGCCTTAAAAGGGTTTTTTTTTAAGTGGCACTTTTTTTTCCTTAATGAATTGGTAAATTACCGATATCTAAGACTCTGAAAAGATGAAATTTAGATTTTGTAACCTCACAAAAAATTAGCAATAGAATGTATTTTTAAATCATGTGCTGTAGTTTTTGCTTCTAGGAAGATGGAGAAGACATGCTTTTTTCCCTCCTATTTCTCCTGCTTGCTACAACTAAAATCCCTGCATATTATACATAAAACAAACATAAGAAGAGAAGAAAGTAGAAAAACTAGAGACTTTGGAATATTAGGAACAACATGGCAGTGAGTGCCTTGTGTTTACATTTGTCTTATATATCCCAGTCTTGATTGGAATAAACCAACATTCCAAAAATACAAATGGGCACAGACAATAAAATCCCCAACAAAAGTCTGCTCTCTGCAGCCAAAGGACAAAGAAAGGGTAACCTAGCAAGACAAAAATAAATAAATAAATAATGGCTTTAGTCCAGTCAAGCACCACAGCCCATGCAAGCAAAGGCCAAGTGGGAAACCTAGACTTCCACTCTTGCAAATTTTGTATCAGAGAAGACCAAGTAGAGAGCCAGGATTTTCATCCCCATCATCTAGTAACAAACCTCACTTCCCACCACAGTGTCAGTGGGGACCATGTAGGGAGCTGTAACTCCAACCCCTGCCCAGCAGTAGTAAAGAGCCCTCCCCATCTTGTGTCAACAGAGGCTGAGAGTGGAATGCGAACTTCTACCTCCACCTGGATATAATTAGATAGTTAGTTCCCCTTAGTTGCTGGAACACTGTCAGAGAAAATCAGCTGAAAGAGAAGGTTTAAATAAGATTCAAAGTCTCAGAACATAATGAAAAAATGTCAAGGTTAAAACTGAAGATCACTCATCATACAAAGATCAGACATCATCAACCAGAATGAAAAAAAGATAATCAGTACATGGCAATAGGAAGAAAACTGAGAAATTAGAATAATATGACAAGTGTTTTAAAGCAGGTGTGATAGAAATGCTTCAGTGAACTATTATGATGACACTTGAAAAAAATAGAAATAGCCTCAGTAAAGAAATAGAAAGTCTCAGGAAAGAAACAGAAACTATAAAGAAGAACCAAATGGAAATCTTAGAACTGAAAAGTAACTGAAATAAATAGCTCACTGGATGGGCTCAACAGCAGAACAGAGAAGAGGAAAAAATTGGAAGATAGAACAATAGAAGTTATTCATTCTAAACAATGGAGAGAAAATCAAAAACAAAAAAGAATAGAGCCTCAGAAACATGTAGGACTGTAACAAAACATCCACTAACATTTGTGTGATTAGAGTTCCTAAAGGAGAAAAAAAAGTGGGGTTGAAAAGGTACTCAGACTATTGAGAAAGGATTTCAGTTTAAAATGGAACCAGAGAAATAGACAAATAGATCAATGGAACAAAACAGAAAGCCCCAAAATAAACACACACACTTTGGTCAATTAATCTACAACACAGGAGGCAAGACTATACAATGGAGAAAAGACAAGTCTCTTCAATACATGGTGCTGGGAAAACAGGATAGCGGCATGTAAAAGAATGAAAGTAGAACATTCTCTAACACCATATACAAAAATAAACTCAAAATGAATTAAAAACCTAAATGTAAGACCAGATACTACAAACTTCCTAGAGGAAAATATAAGCAGAAAAGTCTTTGAGATAAATCACAGCAATATTTTTTTGGATCCATCTCCTAGAGTAATAGAAATAAAACCAAAAATGAACAAAAGGGACTTAAACAAACTTAAAAGTTTTTTCACAGCAAAGGAAAACACAAACCAAATGAAAAGACAACCTACGAAATGAGAGAAAATATTTGCAAACAATGCTGCTGACAAGGGATTAATTTCCAAAATATACAACCAGCCCACACAGCTCAATATATAAAAAATAAAGAAAAAGAAAAAATGAGCAAAGACCTAACTAGATGTTTCTCCAAAGAAGACATCCAGATGGCCAACAGGCACATAGAAAGATGCTCAATATCACTAACTATTAAAGAAATGCAAATCAAAACTACAGTGAGATGTCCTCACACTGGTCAGAATGGCCATCATTAAAAAGTTAATAAATAATAATGCTGGAGAGGGTGTGAAGAAAAAGGAACCCCGTTACACAGTTATGAATGTAAATTAGTGCCACCACTATGGAGAACAGTATGGAAGTTCCTTAAAAAACTAAAAATAGTTACCATATGATCCAGCAATCTCTCTCCTAGGCATATACCCAGAAAAGTCAAAAACTCATTTGGAAAGATACATGCACTTCAATGTTCATAGCAGCACTATTCACATTAGCCAAGACATGGAAGCAAACTAAATGTCCACTGACAGATGAATGGATAAAGAAGATATAGTAAATATATAAAATGGAATATTACTCAGCCATAAAAACAATGAAATAATGCCATTTGCAACAACATGGGTGGACCTAGAGATTATCATACTAAGTGAAGTAAGTTAGAAAGAAAAAGACAAATATCATGTTATCACTTGTATGTGGAATCTAAAAAAAAAATACCAATGAACTTTTTACAAAACAAAAATAGACTTACAGACATAGAAAACAAACATATGGTTACCAAAAAGGAAAGTGAGGGCAGGGGAATTAGGAGTTTGGGATTAACGTATACACACTACTATATATAAAACAAA